CCTTGACAAGGTCAAGTGTTGCCGTTACTCCCTGGTCCGTGATAGGAGACTTGGCGACGCTGTGGGACTCACCAAAGGTCCCGTTAAGGCTGGGGATGACCCCCCAGCACCTGGGTGCCCCTTCCCAGTGCTGTGTTCTAAGGGAACGTCCCTGGGGCCCGGAGGACACGGGCTGCAGGAGCGGCTTCCAGGGGCGGTGCAGGAAAAGCCCCCGGCAGCTGCCCCCTCCCTGCTTCCCGCGGCTGCGGGCCCCGCGCCCTGGACGGGTCTGGGATCCCCCGGTCTCCTCCTCGTCTGCTGCAGGAACATCCACCCGCCCGCGTGGGGCTGCGCAGGCGCGCGCGACGCGGGCAGGGGCGCGCGGCCGCCGTGGTGCTGGACGCGCGCCGCTGCTCCGGCTCCCTTCACACCACGTTACGTACAATTCCACAGCTCCACAAACCGCTCTTGATACTCTCAAATTCCTGCTCAGGGTAATGAAACACGGGTGCGGTTTGCAGAGCTCTGAGGTTCCGGGTGATTAGAGGAGCTGCTCCCTGTCACACAGAGCCAGGCATGCGGTCCCGAGCGTGCCAGCCAGCGAGCTTCAGCGCTCGGAAATTATCTTAATTCCTTTCTTGCCCCCAAAAGCCACACATTTGGACAATTCGCAGAACCCCAGCCTTCGATTAACTGCGCTTTAAAAACAAGTCCTTTCTTCCTTGCTTCCCACTCTTTCTCACTTCCCTCTCCACCCCTAAAAAGAGAGAAAAGGACAGGGAAGAAAAAAAAAAAAAGCCCTTCCTGATAATTGCACTGGTCCAAATGTGCAGGGCTTTCATACAGAATGATGGCTTCCCTTGTCTCCTGCATTTGTTCATCTCCTTTGGGAGGAGCAATTTACAGAAAGCATTATCGATTTTTGCCATAATAGGTACAGAGATGCCTCACTGTCCCTGCTCAGCCAGCTCACTCTCTGCATCACAACTGTCAGGCCAGTTTGTGAAGCCCGTCATTATTTTTTTTCAAGTAAATCCATCACGGGAGTGGGGGAAAAGTGATGAAAATAAAATTATTTTCACCTTGCCATAAAAAAGAATGGCCATGTTCCCTAACAGAAATAAGTGCAAATGCTGTCACCAAAGAGAGAGGAAGGGAAATTCAAAGTGTGTCGGAGGCGGCTGGCGGGGGCCAGTGGGGGGGCGCGCAGGCACGCCAGCAGCTCATTTACTTGGAGCACATTCTGGAATTTTCCTGCGAAAAGCCGCTATTTACAACTCTTGCAGGCGTCCTCCGCCTTCTCGTTTTCTGCCAGTGCTGCAAGCGACGCTTCACACGGGTGTTTCCCTTGGCTTTCGGGGTGTCGGGGAGGCTGCGGGTGCCGTGGTGCAGCTATTAAACGTTCCAGGCCGCGGGATCTGCCCCGAGCCGAGACCACCCCCACGGCAGCGCCAGCCCCGTCGTGCGCGGGCCCGGGCTCTGCGCCCTGCTCCACACCCTGCACCCCGTGTTCCGCACCCCGCGCTCCGCTCGTCCTGCCCCTCGCGTGGCAGCGTCGAGGGAGCCGTGCTTCCAATGCTGCCGGAACCACGAAAGCCTTTTGGAAATCCCAGCCCAAACGGCGCCCGGCTTGCAGCGGTGTTTCCCGCTCTCCCTCGCTCCTCTCCATTCAGATGTGTGGTGGTCACATCACACGTCTTGCAGGTCAGAGCCCCTAGCACCCTACACCAGCAGCCCTGGGCTGCTTTTTACTCCCCAGGCCAGCCCTATTTGGGGCTCAGGTCTAATCCAAGATTCGGCTCTGGATCTAATTCCCAGATCCTCGGCTCATTAGCCATGTGGTAGCCACGAGCGCCCCAGCCAAGCTGTCCCGTCCAAGCTGTCCCATCCCAGCTGTCCCAGATGAGCCACCCCATCCAAGCCGCCCCGGCTGCACCGCGGGGGTCCCGGGCAGCGCAGGGGGTATTGGTGCTGCAGGACGCAGCAGGATCTGCCCAAGCCCTGGCCCTCCTTGCCAGGCGGCTCCGCTTTGCGCCTTGGCACCCCTTCATTCCAGAGCATCCTCTTCAGCCCAGCTGTGCTCTGCTCTGCTAATCTTTCTCTGTTCCCCATCAGATGCATTCATTTTAAAAGCGAAATGCTAAGCAGTAAATGGTACATAAGCCAAGCAGACGGCCCTTTCTAGACACAGGCCTATCCACATGCTGGCCTCACTAGAGAAGGTCGCCCCACGGAAAGCCACGGGAAGCCAAGGGCCTCCGCGCCGCCGTCCCGTGGCCTCCGGGGACGCCCCAGGAGGCTGCAGAAAATCCGAGACCTCCTTGATTCCGCACTGGAAGCAAGAGACAAACTTTCTAATACAGATCGAGCAGATCAAGGAATTTCAGCTAGTTTATTAAATGCAGGGAACGGCTATTACTGCTATTTATCTAATATGCTCTGCTGTGCAAACACCAGGCACAATTTCAATAGCAGGGTAATTCTGTCAGTGAATTACCATCCTAAGGGAGAAATTAGTGTAAATTAGTTTAGTTTGTTCTTTTGCTTTAACAAGTACATTGTAGATTGTAATTGTTTTTAAATCCCTGCTCTTCGGTACACGTGCGCCAAGCGCTGTGTCAGCGCAGGTGGCTACCTTATGTCTCTCTCATTTAGCCAATATTGTGCTCCACTTAATTCATACATATGTTCAGACACACGCACACACCCCCGAACAGATGTGTGCACTGCGCACACAGCCACATATGAGGCTGCTGTTTAATGTAACAACTACAGTAAAAACACGAGGCCTGGAGAAGTTGGGGAAAAGCCCGCAGAGAAACAACCTGCACTTTACTTTTTAATTTTAGACCACATTAAATTAACCATGATCACAAGGCAAGTATGTGTGGAAACCAGACTAGCTGCAGCTTCTGTCACCTCTGTGTTTGTGCTGGGCTGCGCGGCGGCCTCGCCCCCAAAATCACCATAAAAACAGAACTTCTTACCCAAGCTTCCTCCCTGTGTGCAAACAGGGTCAGGTATGTTGAGTTTAGTCACAAAATTGCTATTTACCCCTTTTTAGCCCTCCCGTGTCCATCAGGTCACAGTCTGATTCTAGGGAGACGCTTATGTCAGAGAACTCCCATGCGTGTGACTGGGTGGGATGTGCCCGCACCAACTGCTGCTAGAGATGCTTAAATCATGCCAAACAAACACAACTTTCCATACTGCTACAACTCCCCCAGGAAAACTGGCTAAAGCATGTTTGTATGAAGTGCTCGCACTTGACTGACTAGACTGGATCCTGTGCGTGGCACGAGTTTCCTCACGTAGACGACTGGGCACGGCTGCACAAGGAGCTCCTGCACGGGCCAGCGCCAGCAGCTGCACCTCTCCGAGGGACCATCTTAATCCATCTCCCCTCAGCTTGCCAAGCGTTGTATTCACTTTGACTGCACAATAATTGCTGGCAGCACTTACAGCTTTTTGGAGAAGCAAGTAGCCTAATCACTTGCCTTCAACTTCTTTTATACTGTTCAGTTTGTGAATGGGAACCCAACTGTTGACCAACTCTGTGCCTGGCCACCTTGGTTTGAAGCCTGACATCTTCATGCCATAGTTTTTGCTTACATTTTAATCATGCTTTTAGCAATAAACAAATACTAATATGAGAAGAAATGAATAGAACTGCTCATCTTAGAAGAGGTAACATAAAATCGAGAGTGTAAATTTAAATGGATGTGTAAAAGTGCATGTAAGATGAATGATGCTCCCTCTTGTAAGATAAAATGTATTGAATTGTATGCGGTTTTGATGGCCTGTAGAGCAAGAGATGGAGAGAAAGCAAAGGAAACAACTTACATTTTTGATGGAATTAAGATAGGAAAGGAGTAAATAAGAAAGTGGGTTATTTGTGGAAAAACGCACTCTGGCTTGAATGCTGGGAGAGAAACGAAGTCTGCTGTGTTTCTTTGTGTTCAGCCTCTGGCTGTCCAGCTGGTTACCAGATCATGGGGAACACAGGCCTCTGAAAGGTGGAAAAAAGATCTGAAATATGAAGCACTGCTGTTTTACTGCTAATTCAATAGGAAAAAAACCCTATAAAATATTAAAGAAAGTATTTAAAAATATATTAAACACAATTTGTACCATAATAGCTTAACCTGACATCAAAATGCAGCTTATAGCTTGTTTGTGCTGAGTTTCATAGTGTGGCGAACAGACGAGCGGGCAGAACGCTCCACACAGCCTGCAGCGTTCAACAAAATAGGATTTGGGCTTCGTTAAAACAAATTCCAGGTGGAAAATTGGGCATGCTGATAAAAGCAGTGCAGGAAAGAGTGTTAGCTCTGATAGGGTAGGATGGGTATTGAATTCACTCTTAACATTACAGGACTTAATTAAAGAGGTTGACCTGAGGACCCCAAGCAGTGACAAGCGAAGATAGCCATTTCTGCTACAATGCCGTGTTACTAAAGTTAATTCTTTTTAATATGACTCAAGCTAGAATGTATATAGAATATCCTAATTCAAGGGAAATGTGGAGCACACACGGTATCGCTGCTTACCCAAGAAAACAAAGAATACACATGTTCAGATAACATGAATTCTCATCCAATCAAGAGCGATTTTTAATTATGAAAGATGATGTTTTTATGTAATTTCCTACAGTCATAAAAACATATTTACAATGTCCATTTTTCATCAGAAAAAAAAATAAAAACGACAGTGAGAGCACTCAAACACTCCTGAATTGGTTTCTAGGGTGGTCTGTGGTTCAGGATGCTAACAGCCCCCATCAGAAAACATCCTGAACGCCAGCATAGAAAGATTAGCCTTGGAATAAAAAGGCTGAGATTAACAGAAATTTCCAATCCTAACTCTTCTCTGAGTTATTTTACGGCCTGCAGTCAACCATACGTATGGTCTGATGCCGGTGTTCAAGGTGGGTACCGTCCCTGCTGGTTTCGCAGCCTCTCGCGTGCAGCATTTCTCAGGGTACCAGCAAGCTGCACAGAGTCAGCTCCGAGTCAGAGCTGGGACGTTCCTCAGGTGAGGAAGTGACTCGCACTGTGAGGAAAAACACATGGACAACGGTGGTCCATTCATTCCCAGTGTCCCACTCAAAATCCTTTTTGTTTAGAAAATAAATATACTAAGCCTAAAAAACTTCTGGTCAATCACATTTACAGCAACAGAAAAAGTGTAATAAACTTTTGTTTATTCTTGAAGAATAAAGATGTATTTTTACAGGCTTTATATGCAACACCAAAATTAAGGCACATTTCTAAACTAAAGCTTACTTCAAATGCGAGGCTGCATGGAGCCCGACAGCAAATGAAATCAGCTTCCAGTGGCTTACACTCCTCATCATTGAGGAGATCTTCTGATTATCCATGAAAAGAGCGCACTGAATGATGCTGCAGGTGCTTCCAGTGCCATTTCCCTGCTGCGGCCCAGCCACGGTGCCAAACGGGCAGCTTTGCTCTGCCCTGGGCCAGCTTAAACATGGGTGAAATCCTGGCAGAGCCCAGGAAGCAGCCACCCAGTATGGGCTTAACGTGCCCACATCCCTCTCGTGATTGTGCCCGCATATAAGTACTACTGAAACAATTTCTCAGCCCCCTCTAAATTACTGTAGCAAATAAGAAGGGAACAAACAAATGGCTCTGCTGGGTCAACCAAATGTCCACTTAGCCTGTCCTTCTGCATCCAGCAGCCATCAAGAACAGGGAAGAGCACAAAACCAAGCCAGGCACAGAGCAAAACTTCCCTCAAACACAGCCACAGCCTTTCTGTTCAGTCCCTCCTGAGGGGTTTCTGTGCTGGGCACTCACACGGGCTCCCCATGCACCTACCTACCCTGTAGCATCCACGCACCAGTGGGAGGGATGGCAAAGAGGAAACTTCAGCACCCTTTTCTTTACCTTCCCTTGCAGCAAGATTGAGCAGGTTGCTGCTTTAGGAGGACAGGGCCTGTCTTTGTGAAGATGACTAATCAATGCTACACCTGTGAGCACCAGCTGCTCCTCATCGGCCGGTGTTTTTATTTCGTGGAGAACCACTCAGCTGCAGCACACCTGGTCATTCCTGAAGTTCCCTCTTCTGTTCTCCCTCTCCAGTGGGTTGTCCCCTGGTTAATGAAGGCTCTATATAGTTTAACACTTGATGAGTTTTCTAGTACCTTTCTTTAAGACAGCTTTGTGGTGTCTGCCAGATTTCCTATTTATTTCAATTCTGTTCTCCATTCTTCCACTATTAACACACAGCCCATTGCAAACTTGTTTCTAAAAGGCTAGATCAATAACGAGAAGACACGTACTGCCCGTGTCCTCACACGATGGCACGATGTCCTCACTTTTCCCCCAGAAAACTCCCTGCTTTCCAGCCGTGCCCCTGCGCTGAGGGGCTGCCCTGCCCAGCGCTGGCTGCAGGGTTTGCCCCCTGCTCTGCAGCCCCGCGTTCCTCTTCATCACAGCTTGAAGCTGCCGCCTCTCCTGGAAAGGGCCCGTGCTTCCTGGGACCTGTGCATGAGGTCTGGCTGCCCCCAGCAGAAAAAGCTCTCTCCTCCTGGTGCTGGGACAGTTACCACTGCTTTGACACTCCTGTCTCAGCCCATGGCGCCAATGACCCCCCTACGGTCTTCGGTGCTATTTGCTCATATTCAACTTCTTGTCTTCCAGTTCAGTGACAATGACAGTAAAGGCCTCACCGCTGCCTGTGGAGACTTCATCCTCCTTACTTTGCTGGAGGGCAACCTACCCTATGAGGAGAGTTTGTAGAAGCGCTCAGCCCGTCACTCTGCAGAGACGATGGAGCCAAAGGGTCTGCCCTGACCTGATGGGGGGTGGTGGGCAGAGGCACGTGATAAAGAGCAGTGAATGTGGAGAGCGGCGACTCAGGACCACCAAGCTCTGCAGCAGCAAAGTTGGGGAAACCAGCCGGCAAATGCTCACCTTGTCTCAGCAAGTGCCCGGACACCTGAGCACCTTGGTCTTTGCAGCCTTTGGAGGCCTTGGTAGGTGAACTCGGAGCTGGAATCAAGTGCACTTAATTAGGAAACGGCTCGCAGCAGGTCAGGGCAGAGCAGGGCTCATGGTCCAGCTCCATCCAGGCATCAACCAAAGCAAGAGCCGCCATCAGAGCCGCCAGGTCTTCCTCTTACGACAAAGAAAGCAGACGAAAACCCAACGTGAAGCGGCCCACATCAGTCAGCGAGGATGAGGAGGAGCAGATCCCAGACCGGGAGCACATCTACCCCTCCAGCCCCACAGCCCAGCAGAATGCACCTCCCGCTATATATAAATATATATAAAAATATATATAGGTGTCGCTGTGGACCCACACAGAGCACCTGGAACACGGCGCCGCCGCACGCGATCGGAGCCCCTGAGCAGGAGCGAACGCCTGGAAATTAATGATGTCAGCCTGTCTTCATATATCAAGCTAATTTGAAAGGGCTTTAATTTTCTTAAAGGATAAAAAAAGGTTTCTTTGCTAGATTAAACTTGCAATTGTCATTCATATATTGTTTATAAGGTACTCATCTCCTCACTCTGTATTTTTTTGTTTTTGATTTTGTATACTAGTTAGCAGTGAAGACTTGTCTGCGTATATCAGAAGGAATAAAGAGAGAAATGTCCTTAACTGTCAGTTTTAATAAGAGGAGTCAACATGCCTCTATTCAGGTTAAATATTGCCCTGTCACATTTCAATAGAGTCAACAGATTTTTTAAAGAAAAGTCAAAAGCACTGTGTTTGCAAAAAATACTAATAAAAATCCCTACCCCCCACCTCCTTGTCAGCGAGTGTCAAAGCCCTTCTTTCTTTGGGGGGGCGTGGAAGCAGGACAGAAAATTCTTTTGTAAAACGTGAAAAATTACTACTCATAATTGGCACTGACATGAAAAAGGTTGGGTTTTTTGTTAGAAAAACAAAGAAAATCTCTAATTTAATAATCACCTGCAAAGTGTTATTGTGATGGGAACAAAAAACACACAATCAAAGTCATCTCTTTTAAGTAACTATAGTGTTTTTAAGCAATCACGGCACTTCAGCGCGGCTCCGCACACAAGCGGCTGATGTGCAAAGTCTAACGCGACGCTCCGGATTCCCGGAGCAAAGTTCCTCGCCTCGCGAGCGACGGCGCGTGCGGGAGAGGTGCGGGGAGGACGCGCCGTGTCGGGGAAAGGCACGCGCCAAAAGAACGGAGAAGGAGGAGACTCGGCAGCGCCGGGACCAGGGGAGCCGCGTGGCCGCCGCCTCCGGCGCAGCGGGGCCTCGGGCAGCCTCGTGCCGCGGGGCCTCCCGCTCCACAGGCGCGCTCGCCTGCCCACCCGAGGCCCCCCGTGTCCCTGCTGAGCAGGGGTGCTCAGCGTCCCAAGCTGAACAGGGGTGCTCAGTGTCCCCTGCCGAGCTCAGTGTCCCCTGCCGAGCTCGGTGCTCGATGTCCCTGCGAGTCCTGGCCTTGAAGGAGGTGACAGAGCCGCTGAAAGGAGAGATTCCCGCATGGGAAGTTCGCAGTGTGTTTAAATCACGGTTAAGCTCAGCTGCAGGCGAGATGTGTCCAGCTTTGTAGTTCATACAAATTAAGCAAATTTTGGAGAAATGGTTAAATCCCTGTCAGTTACTACCCACTATCTCCTAGCAGTGGAGGACACTTCACAACTGAACGCGCTCAATTTCTGCAAGGCCCAATGTCCTTGCTGAACTCATACCCGAATGTCAAGGAAGTTATTTTTTCTGGGCATTTCACTTTAAATTTAGCCTTTCTGGTGCTTTCCTGAAGCAGACATTGCTAGTGTGACTTCTTCTAAACAAACAACAAATATTCCTGAAACTAATCTTGCTAAGACAGGAGTCATTAATCCGTAAACGACTCTGGGTGTACATTAGCCTGAAGGGTGTGATGCTGGAAGCCTGTGATGCCTTCTGACATACAAAAGTGGTTCCAAATTTGTAGTCATTATCCAAATAAAGCAAACAAGTCAAAAGCAATCAGATACTCGCCTGATGAGAGAACCCAAAGCAGCTTCCGCAAGCCCCTGTCTTCACAGGTAGCACCGCTTCCCTCCGCCCCGTCATCCAGAGCCGCCTGCAGCCACGGTCTGAGACAGTTTTGCTCGATGGCCATGGCCACTAGCAGGAGCAAAACTCTTATACCTGCCCAGCACAGTCAGGAGCTTTCCGTTCTGGAAATTCCGTTCCCGATTTCTGTTCTGGAGGTGACAGTCATTGGTGCAAGTGTCACAGCCATAACACGGGGCAACAGCACGTGGTGAAACACGGCCAGCAAGCGCCCGGACACACCGCACTAATAGCATTCCATATGGGCTGCAAATTTTGAACATTTCACCTAAAATTCTCTTTTAAAATGTCAAGAAAAATATTTTAAGCGCACTGAATCATCTTGTCATTTCTGTAAGAAGATATTTATAAATCTCCCCCTGGAGATTCTATTGCATATTCAACCTTAAATTCTAAAAAGTAAAAACCAAAACAAAATTTCACTGATAAATAAAATATTTTAATAGCATTTTCTTTTGATCTGTTTCTTTTTATGATTTGGAAAAAATCAAATCTTCAAACACAAAAAATCATAGTCCATGTGTGTCCCTGCTCTGCCCATAACTCTACCAGGCACACGGCGCTGGGCGAGGGCACTGGTGCTTCAGGGGCACCGCGTCCCGGCACGGGACACGCGGCCGCCCCGGGCTGGGAGCTCTGCCAGAGCCAGCAGGGCACTGGGATTTGGGCTCCGAGCCTGGATTGCCAGCTCTGGAAGGGCTCGGCTGGCAGCCACCCGAGCCGGGAACGCCGAGAGCCGGCGCGGTGCACAGTGGTGGTTTCCGCATGCGGCACAGTTTTATTTCGCCTTGTTCCCGTGGACTTTTTACAACGTACCTGGCTGCTGTTAGGAAAGCTGCTGGAGACTTGTTCTTCACTCTATAGACCAGAACCTGAACTAGATACCTGACGATCTGGGAACTCATTTGTTTTCACTCAGATCTTCAGAAAGCAAATAAGGATCAGACCTGAACGGTTCCCCCAGGGAATTAACAACATTCTATTGTTATTTCCATTTTGCTCTCTCTGTCTCCGTGCACAACGGAACCGTTCACCACACCTCCCATTTCAGAGCAATGCTCTCCCCATCCTGCTCCACATTCGGGGTCTCTGCTGCTCTTCCCTTTCACATAGCAGAAGGGAACATTTTCCTCAGGATTTACACACTGATCTTGTTTCTCAGCTGAGGAGAAGCAGACCCTTTGCCTCCAAACAAAGTAAATAATTGCACTGCAAGTAGCATGCTCTCTCCCGTGTAACCAAGAGTTTTAAGATAAAAGCACTCACTTAAAAAAGAAAGGGGAAAAAAAAAGAGAAAAAAGTAAGCATCCTTAGCAAGGACACCCTCACCCAGCTCTGGATCTTAGGGAAAAAAATCTATAAATACAACTGATGCTCCTTTATTGCTGTCAAGAGGCAGGAAGGAGGCTTTTTGGACGGGAATATCATCAAGATAAAGAGCACCTTAGAACAAAAGCTTTCTGCAGAAAAGGGCAGTGTTTACTTTGCCAGCTCCAGAGCGTGTTGTTTGAGGCAATCTCCCCTTTCACATTAACACTTGTTTGCACCATGGAAAGGTGTTTTTAAGGACATGGAAACGGGGCTGCCTCCTCTCCACACTGCCCACGCTCAAGCACCGCTGGGACAGGTGCCTCAGCAGTGCCCGGGTAGGTGGGATTAGCTAGGAGGGAAACAGCCATCCCTCCAACTCTACGGCAACACCGCTCTGGGGCAGTGCTGCCCCATCCTGCAGCTGCATCATCTCCCCTATATCGAATCCTTGGGTTTTTGCGTGGGATTAAAAGCGGAAGGAATACTGCACGAGTCCCCATTTTAGAGCAGGACGAGCTGTGTCCCAG